ATGACGAACTTATTCAGGGCAAAAAAACACCGACAGACCACACAACGTCGGTAGAAGCTCAATCAATCGGTGACTCGCAGCACACGCAGCTAAAATTCCAGCTTAACATCCTACAAAGGACCGAGGCAGCGAACGTAAAATATCGATCAGTCCGAGGCCACCAATCAGGTCACTCCCATTTATGTTCGATTAAATGCACTAAACGCTGTGACAATGGTGAGCTGGCCAAGCTCCCCCAACTGTCAACAGTTCGTTAAACCTGTTCCGGTGAGCCCTTCGTATTTCTCAAGTTATCAGCCCAAATATCTCAACTGTGCCGACTTGAATGCATCCAAGCAAGCGAAACTGCATAAGCTGTCTTGTTCAATTTCCGAGGAAATCGAATCGCGAACTTGAAGCAAAACAACCTTATGGGCTCGATCCTAAACTGGATACGTTCACAGTGGAAAATACCATTCGCAGTCCAAAATCGGATCCAGGTTTCCAGCCACCTAAGCTGACGTTCTAACACCGAACTGCAGTTCGCACACTTCCGATTACATCAGTTTACTTTAACGCATACCGGTAATGAGCTAAATGCACTCTGTTGAAATTAGATCAGTGTTTGTGATCTAACATCGACATGCTGCGTGATATCAATGAAAACAATCAAACTGCAATAGCATGGAGGCAGAAGAGCGAATTAAAACAGGCAAACCTCGAGGAGCTTATCCGGTGGTAACGTCTCGAGGTACCGTCGAGTCAGCTCGCGACCATCAATGTCCACTTCGGCCTTGAAGCGCACTGCATCTCCACCGCCCATCATCATGGCCTTGGTGTCATAGGTTCCGCGAATAATTTTCGCGTTGTCAATCAACCGTGTGATCTGTTCGTGGCGTTCCAGTGAGATGGACCTACAAAGGCGGAGGGGGAGAGGGTCGGTGGAGTACGTGACGCGGGTAAATGATGGTCGTACAGAAGGAAACCTTATGGATGGGTTATTGGAGGCTCGGCGGTTGGATCGTCACTGGCACAAAGTTAGGCTCCCGTCCGTTTAGACGCGAGCGGAAGCCCTACTAGAGGCTAACAGAGGAGTGGTAGCACGATCATTACAGCCACTTTTCGAGCCACTACATGAAAAAACAATAACCTCGCAGGAATCCGACACGAGTTAGGTCTTGTCAACGAACCTGAACGTTGCAATTCACATGATTCACCTACATATTGCGTTTTAAGCTTTATTAACGGTCTTGTGTAAATTGCACAAAAGGCTACGAAAAGGTTTAACTTTAAGAACTGAGCTTCTCTGGGTAAAGAAATAGAGGACTGCCGAAAAGGCAATGGTGAATTCTGAATTCTGCAGATGGATCCGCTCCATACTCTAAAAAAGCTGAGAGCTGCCAGAAGCACTTAGGACGATTTTTCTATATGTTTGAGGTCATAGAGCTGATAAGAAGACGACTCGATCGCTGGGAAAATACTTTTATTCGTCTGACGTTTCGATATTCGTCGCGGATTCGTCATCAGAGACATAATCACAGCGCAGTAGCAGATACAGGTAGTGTGCGCATAGGAGTTTTGCCGTATAGGACAGTTAAAATTTAAACGTGTGCAAAAAATCGATAACTGTTACTGCTATCTGCTACTGCACTGTGATTATGTCTCTGGTGATGAATCCCCGACGGATATCAAAACGTCAGGCGAATAAAAGTGTTGTCCCAGCGATCGAGTCGTCTTCTTCTCAATTACTTCCTGGGACTCGCAAGTTCACTTGTATTGGTCATAGAACTCTCAACCGTCCATACACCAAAATATCTCGCTTTCTGTCATTCGTATGTGCTAAGGCCTCATTTCTGCCATACAATTCCACCTTTTCAGTTTGCTTTCAGTTTAAGCTGACGAAAGCAATTGATAATCGGGAGGCAGGTAAAGGTGTACATCGTGGGGGAAGAGACCAACATGAAGTATAAAGGACATACTTGCCCAGGAGAACCTCCGTATTGGTGTGAATTATGAAGCCAGCCACACCAGCCAAGATCGCGCTGATACCGATACCACCAAGAGCGTCGGGCCAGGTGACTCCCATCAAAGCGGAAGCACCGAGAGCGGTGCTGGCTACCAAAATACCCAGAACGGCGGCTGTATCCTCAAGGAGGACCACACT